AGAACGCTCTCACTGACATACTGATTGTGACTTTCCAGAGAAACTAAGTTACATGTCAAAGAAACTGGGAGATAATGTATGTTTTATTTGAAACCACTGAATATGTGGTGTATTGTTACATAGCACAGAAAACTGATATACTCTCCCAATACTTGCTTAATAAGCATTATTCACAGTGTTTCAGAAGACTATGAAGATCTAACTTGATGCAGTCAAGGAGTTTATAGTAGGTGACTTCCAAAATATGTGGCTAAACTATTCAATTATTAAGATGCTTTCCTTTCACACACAGATGCTGTGAAATGTCATGTGACTTCTACTTTAAGTCACTAAAGAGCAAAGCAGACTTGTGTGAAAGTATTGACATTATATCAACATCTATCAAGTAAAGAATGTATGTATTTTTAGTATTCTGCTCCCCAAGAAAAGAACCACCATTATCTGCCAGGTGAGGTTATATAGCCCTGCCATTATATTCTGTAAAATCAGGTAGAAGAGTAAAATTCCAAACATTTAAAAAATTGCAGCAATGCTAAAAGAAAGTATGTGACTTGCTTTTGTTCTGGGCCTGTGTTAACCTTTCTTGTATGGTACCGGTTTTACTATTTGTGCTGTTGAAGGGAACACTGTGACTTGCCTTGGCATTTACTATCTGCTACACCCCAGAAAATTGTCTAAAACCTGGATCAGATAGCTGTTCACTATATTAGGTGAAGTTTTCAGCAAAGTATTTTGTGTATCTGAATTTCTGAATAAGACAGATAAACATGACAAATCAACAATATCTGGGGCAGAGAGAAGTTAAAGAGAGGGACACAGTGTGTATGCTGCTTTTTCCTTTTCAGTTTCTGAGTTTGTAGGGAATTCACAGTAAAGCAACAAGAGTATTAGACTCTGACATATTACAAAAAGCTTCAGCAGCAATAATTAATTTAGGGGGCCGCTCACATGAATAAATCTTACAAACCACTCTCAAGGTGATGGGGAAAACAAATGTGCTGGAGGAGAGCCCCTGTGCTGAGCTGTCAATGCTTTGTTCTGTCATTGATCATGGATGATGGCAAAGAGGTGATCACTCACAGATACTACAGACGTTACTCTTCAAATATGGACGGGCCTTACTTTTTGTATGGAAAAGTCTGTGTTTAATGAATGATGGGGTCTTTCCTCTGCCCAAAGATCTAAGATACAAGCCTCCTGCCTCCTTCTCTTCTTTCCTTGCTGCTTTGTAGGAAGCAGCAGAGACCAGTACATTTATTATCCTGGAATTATCCTTTCAGATACTGATTTTATTTTTCCAGGAATATGAATCCAAATATGTGATTCAAAGAGATTCTAAAAAATTCCAACCCATACTATTGTTTTGTTCCAATTATATGAACCTCTCAGACAAGATCAACTCTGCCCTAGGCCAGGCATACAACTGGTGCCTGAAAACCACTGCAGGTTTTCAGAGGGTGGGTGAAGGTGCCATCACTAGCATAACATCTTCTTCTTCTTTTTTTTTTTTTATTTGTGCATACAGAACTAGAACTAGGCCAGAGATGCAGGGGTGGTGAGAGAATCCACCAATGACAGAGTGGGGAGCAGAACAGGCAGATCGACAAAGTACACTGCTGAGGAGAGCAGTGGGCGGGTCAGGAGAGGTCTGCCACGCCATGTGGTCATCTCCAGGGCAGGCGGGGATTGAACTCATGTGGAAGTGACTTTAGCTTCTCAGTCCTGTGCTTTAACCCACTGCGCCACCAGGGAGGGCTTAGCATAACTTCTATTACAGGGGTCTTACTAATTATGATCTTCCATCACTTCACAAATAGATACTCTAGAGGCTTGAAAAGTTCCTAGGTTAAATGAATCCTTGTTAGGTGTATCTTTTCACCAGCTTCACTATAAGAATGTATTCTGAAAGCTCCCTTATGACTGAACTCTTCCTGATTTTTTTTTTTTTCCTTCTAGACATCTTCTAGTCCCCACAATCATAAGACTCATAGAGGGACAACAACTCTCCTTGGAAACAAAGAGAAATCCATGCAAAATAGACAAGTGTTTGGCTCATTGCCATTACATCATTACTTTATGGAAGCATTTATTTGAGCTTCATGAGCAAAGTTGATAAAGTAAATACTATCCCTGCTATGCTCCGAGGATAATACTTAGTTCTCACCATGAAAAGAAAATGTGCCTGTGCTGTATAATATATTGAACACATTTGTCTGATGACCTCAAATATTTTCTAGTGATAACAGCCTGATGTCTAATGGTGTCCTGAAATACACCCTACAAGCTCACTCTTTTGTTCTCCACTTTTCTAGGTACTGAATCCAGATTTATAATAGTCACAAGGATACATATGTGATAACCCAAAATGAATAAGATTATAATCAAGCAGAAAGAAAGCATTATACTCTGTTCAGAAGTTCCTTACCAGGAATAATCCAAAGAGGAAATAGTGTGTTTATCTGCGGTAATAACAATAAAGCTGCCTGGCAATCAAGTTAACTTTGCTGTCACTTTTGTCAAGCAGCATGTTTACACTGGAGACAATCTGAGGAAGGAGAAATCTGTACTGTGATATCAGTGAAATGAAGGCATATTTCTAAACAAAGTCAGCCTCTCCTTTATGAAGTAACTATTTAAAATACAGTGTTTAGATAGACAAAGATTACTTAATGTTTGCAATGTCATAACACATTTGAAGTTCAGTCATTTCAGATGTTGCCCAAAAATCTTGTTTTAGATTAGTTAATCTTAAAGATATATAATATGGAATAATTCATAAAAAGGAAAAATTCTTGTTTTATTATGGGGTACATGCATGCAAGTAAGTATACATATCTCTCTGTGTGTGTTTGTATCTGAGTAAGTGAGCAAAAAGCAAATTGTTGATTTTGTCCAACAATCTAACCATTTGGGATAATTTGTCTGAAAGCTATCGTAATGAACTTAATTATCAACAATTATTATTAAAATCATGCAATTGCCAGATCATACAAGAGTCTCACTTTTACCCCCAACAGTATTTTTTCTTAATATTCAAGCGACTGGTATCTCATGAGACTATAAATGTGGATTACATCCACATTTGGATATAATAATCATTCTCCCCCATCAGCAAGTTTACTTAGACAGACTCACATGAGTCACAGATTCCATACGATCATCAGTAAAGTAGGGGATCCAGAAAAGAGGATCTTGGGTTTTTTGTTAAGGAGGAGAGGAATACCTCCTTAATGCCTCTTTCTCAATGAGTAGAGAAAATTTAGGGACTGGAACTTTTCTGTTAAATTCACATAAGGATGTAGATGATTCAGACCTTACACAGACATACAGGAGAACTTTAGTAATCTACTCTCAAGTGGATAAGTAGAGGAGAATTATAGGGTTAAAAAAATGCTTATTAATGCCTTCCCACTGAACATGTTTTCATCACCAGACTCATCTAGTGAGACTACTGCATTGCTAATCTTGGAGCAATACTTCCCCTCCATGCCTGCCCTCCACTTTTTCATTAAACATTCTTTAGACCAATATGGATAAAATAACTGTGATAATACTTGCAAAAATATTTGAATTGAAAAAACTACATTTCACTAAGTAAGGTAGCAGGCTGTTTTACAATATACATGGAGCTGTGGAAAGTGTCCTGAGTGCTAATTCCAGCCCCTCCCCTTTCTTAGCTTACTCAGATCAAATTATAAGTGAGATGAACGTGACTGTAACTTATTCCTTCAAATAGCAATTACAGGATAACTACAGGGTAATTCCAGGATTTTGTGCCACTGAATGCAGGAGTAATTTGAAATGTTCTGACTGAAAATTTGAATTGTTTACCATATGCTTTCTGTAGATTAGAAATACATTTTAATGACAGATTTCACCTCTCTAAATGTTTGATTTTCTTTTTTTGAAGTCAAGTGATTTTAAGAGCAGAGAAAGTTTAGAAAACATGAGAAAACTTGAAACAAATCAAGAAACATTTTCTTCATTGAAATATGGGTTAAATTGAGCATAAAGGGAGAGCCTCTGAAACATCAAATACTCAAATAATGACAGAATATTTTTCCAATGAAATAGATAAAAATGGCAATGCTTCTATTTTTAAAGCCCTTCAACTTCTCAGTTCAAATAACTAAATTGCTAAACAAGCTAAGTAGCAAAAATTATAAATAGAATGTTCTCCTCTCTGTTACTACTTACTCACTTCTGTTTTTCCCTCCAAGTGCAATCACATATTACAGCTCCTCTTCTCTTTAGTTTTCAATATCTAATCTTCAGTTTTAATTTGTCTTACCCTCATTTTCTTCCAAATGTTGACAATAAACACAGGTAATTATTTAATTGTCCATTCTTATGGAGATCTGCTATCTCACTTATTGTTTATAAACTCTTCCTTCTTCTTTGCTTTATTTTTGACCATGTTCTACCTGTTAGCATTCTTAGTCTATTAAATAAAAGCCCTCTTTTATTCATTCCAAAGACTCTGACTTCAATTTTGGTGGTGATTTCACAATGTCCTGATTTTCCTGCTACTATGTCATAGTTTTATAGGAGGTGAGTTTGGGGAATCAAATCAACCACTCAGTGACTACTCTGCTGACAGGCAAGAAATCAGAATAAGACAAACAACTAGAGTAATTTAGTTTAGAAAATTATCTTGTAAAAATTCACTGTACAGATTCATGTTCACTCAACCATAAAACATGTCCATTACTTTGGGTTTTGAAATTTCACTCCATCTGCAATGTCTTTTTGTCAGCCTACCATATGCAAACAAGTACATAGATATTTTTAAGTCACAGAAATAATGTAGAAGTTATGAAATTTCATTTTCCCCTCCTACTCTATAGTAAACTTGCTAACAATTTTTCTATGAAGCTACAACCAGTAGTAAGAAAGAAACACTATTAAATAATAAGGCAAAGCAAATTTGAAAGTCAGGTAAAAACCAAAAAGACAAACAAAGAAAAAACCTCCCAAACCCAGCATGCTTTAAATCTTACTTGTTCTTTATATCCCACGGGTGTTCACCAGACGTCTCCCTAACAAAGAAGAAATGTGACAACAATTAAAATGTTGTGAAAATTATGCTTTTAAAATACTGCTCATTTAGGTGATTCATATTTATATTACATAGCTAGTAGAAAATGTCAAATTCCAAAAGAAAGTGAAGTTAGTTGTATTTTGGCATTTCCTTTCATACTCATTGTTATAAAAGCAAATTAACATATTCATTTTAAAGAAACAAGAAGCAAAATATGCTTTGATTATTTTGGGGAAAGGAATGATAGTCTTAGGATATTATTTCAATACAATTCATAGTCAAAATTGCATAGAATATTCTTTACTTTTAAAAACAATTTCAGAAAAGTCTGACAAAAATTCTTACAAAATGGACTAGCCCTTTTGTGCTGTAAGGAATTCCTTGCATTGCTTGCATTGTTAAGATTTAGCCCTTTAGTAAACACACACATTCACTGCTTTACTGCTTTAACTAATATCACTGGATCTTCACAAAGAATTTCTCAAACCATAACAATAATGTTAAAAAAGAGAGAATCATATCTATTATTTTAAATTGAGCTGAGAAAAGGGTTTATAATTTTTTTTTAAAGATTTATTTATTTGTACATTCAGAACCGGGGTACAGGCAAGAGACTCAGGGGCGGTGAGAGGCGTCACCAGAGACAGATCGGGGAGCAGAATAGGCAGATCGATGAAGTACACTGCTGAGGAGAGCAGCGGGCAGGTCAGGAGAGGTCTGCCACGCCATGTGGTCTCCTCCAAGGCAGGTGGGGATCGAACTCATGCAGAAGTGGCTTTAGCTTCTCAGTGCAGTGCTTTAACCCGCTGCGCCACCAGGGAGGGCCGGTTTATAAAACTTTTAATGACAAAAAAACTTTGTATATTTTTATTAGATTGAAAGATATATGCACATGGAAGGGTTGTAGTGTTTCGAAAGTCAACTGAAAAATTGGATGACTAAGTTGGCATTTTCCAATAATTGTCATTAAACTTGTTCACCCTGATTTCTTTCTTTTTGTAAGATTGGAACTGGCGAAATCAATGCAGACTCTGAATAGCTTAGGTAAGTGGAATTATTAATCCATTTCTGCAAATTTCTAGAAAATGCCAAACTGATCTTGAGTGACATATAGCAGATCAGGGGTCATTTGCAGACATGGGTCGAAGAGAGAGGAGGGAGACATTAAAACGTCTGTAGCAAGCATTTGAAGTTTATGGCTATGTTTTTATATTGCTTGTAAAGATGGGTATATGTGTATTGAAACATATCAAACTATAAGTGTTAACATAAATAGTATATCAACTATCTCCTAAAAAACTCTAAAAAGTAGCTGGTTATGACAAATATTTAGTGTAAGGTTTCAAATACATGTTTAAAATGTTGGAAAGCTGGGCCCTCCCTGGTGGCTCAGCGGGTTAAAGCACAGCACTGAGAGGCTAAAGCCACTTCCGCATGAGTTCGATTCCCGCCTGCCCCGGAGGTGACCGCATGGCGTGGCAGACCTCTCCTGACCCGCCTGCTGCTCCCCTCAGCAGTGTACTTCATCAATCTGCCTGTTCTGCTCCCCACTCTGTCTCTGGTGAGGCCTCTCACTGCCCCTGAGCCTCTGGCCTGTACCCCAGTTCTGTACGCACAAATAAATAAATCTTCAAAAAAAAATGTTGGAAAACTAATAAAGATTATTATTATTGAAATTATTGTTTTAAAAGATTATATGATAACCAGGTTAGGGCAAGGGTGGTTGGAAATGGGGATGAAAAGCTGTAAGGAGGTTGCATTACAATATTGGTAACAGAAGTAAAGGATACTTGATGGATTTATAATAGTGAAGAAAAAGGCTTACTGAATGTGAAAGCAGGTTTCTGAGTGGGCCACCAGGTGTTGCAATTTTCTGAGATCATGAGATTGGTAATATATTAAAGTTTGAGGGGAATGCAAGAGCCTCATTTTGAATATACAATTTGTAAAATGCCTATGAAACAATCAAATGGAATGGTAAAATGAAAGGATGCTAGAACGAAGAGGAAAAAGGCTGATCTACACAAATAACTTGGAGAATTGCCAGCAAACACAGGACAGAGGGTGCCTGGCACAGGGTGAAGGCAAATGGCATTAAATGGGACAAGATACAGGACCCCAGAGTTAGGATGCTAGCGGGCTTATCTACTTGGATGTTTATAGCTCCTCCTTCATACAATAGCAGAAAAGGGTCATAAAATAAGCAGAAAAAGGCAAAAAGTAATTCTAAGAAGAAGCTAATTTTAGTGATTTTTTTATGCTCCTTAGAGTCTATTTTTAAATTTTTACATTTAAAAGCTAACAACACAGATAGGAAAAACATACACACACATAAACACACATACACTTATATATATACACACACATACACTTACATATATACACATGCAAAATTTTAGCATATTATCCTAATCTGTTGGTAATTTATTCTTAAAGTTATTATCAACAGATTTTGGATGTCTAATTTCTTACATGTAGATATTTACAATCACCTTGCCAAGTATTTTTCTTGTTATATATATATGTATATATATATATATATATATATATATATATATACTTTCTAGACTAAATGGGAAGTAGCGTATAGCTTTGCTAAAATTCCCAAAGATAAGCCAAAATAATATACAGACTTTTTATATTCATTCTTTGCAACTTGGTATATAGAAAAGAATTGCTATGATTTGCTGAAGAGAGTTGGGCATCTGTACTATGATGTTTTAAAATCAACAGCTCTTACTCATGGAGATCAATTACAGACAGAAATCAAACAATTTTGGAATTACGGCATATTACTATAGAAGGAAAATAAAACAGGAATTGCATGATTGACATGAACATTGCTGTTTAAAGTACTGATCAGTTTGAAAATGGTCCATAGTATATATAGTTTTGTTATTTTTGATTTGCTCTGAACATTTCTGGAATGTTCAGGAGTCATCTAAACTTGCTAGATTATTGTTTCTTCATCTAAAATGTTATAAACAGGATAATAAATGGGATAAATTATGCAAAAATTTATTTTATAGTATAAAGTACTATAAACTGCAGGAAAAAAACACAACTAAAAGGCATCATAGTTAATGGTTGTACTTGCTATTACTCAAATACATACTCAATACATTTAATTTAAGCAATGCATTCAGTTTCATTTAGTAATTCACAAGTCATTAATAAGGTTAAGAAATAAATTACATTAAATCTTTAGATAACTGATATAAGGAAATAAGTGAAAGAGTGATAATTAACAAACTTTATATACTTTACTGACTGAATTTTTGGAATATACCATAAAAATAAAAGGTCCAATACCTGGTATTTTACTTGGACTAAAACAACAGTCATAGAATGTGGCTCATCCTTTCCTTTCTCCCATTCTCTACATTTTTTGCTTGTCTCAGTTTCTAATATTCTTCTTTTTCCTTCTTTCCTCTAAACTCCACGAGAGTACTCATTTTTTCCATTATTTCACATTTGATCAAGATTAAGTAAGCATACTATTATGACTGATTAGTTTGTAAAATTCTTTTTATAAAATACTGTTTTAATAAAGGACTTCAATATTAACTGCTGCAAATTTACTAAATATGTTGAAGAATATAAGTAAACGAAAGTCATTCATAATTGTTCCACCGAGCAATGCTTGCTCTTCACTGTTATGATAGCCACAGAAGTTCTGTCATAAGCACTGAAATATAGCTGTATTATAATTCAGCGACAGTCTTGGTACTGACATACTATTTATACTTACTTTTCCATGAATATTTTTATACAAGAGGGGTAATTTTCAACATTTGTAGGTATTGTGCAGTTACTTTAATGTTAACTTTACAGCTAAAATCTAATCTATTAGACTCATGAAAGAGATTTTTTTTTTCATAAGCAGCCATATGATAAACATCCTTAAGACTCTATCTTTGCAAATAATGATAATTCTCTTAGGATGAATTGGTAGAATTAGTCAAACATGCATATCAAATAAAAAAATAAAATATCTATTCCCAAAATTACACTCCAAGAAGGTTATAATATTCAGTATTTCTACCAACAAGCTGGTAGAAGCCTGCCTCCTTCTGCACACTGAAACTAATTGAAGACAGACATTTTCTAAAGTTTGAAAAATTTGTATTTTTTATTTTAGTATGTATTTCTTTGGTAACTAGTTGGGTTGAAATGTTTTTCACATGATTTATTGTTATTTTAAAATGTTTTTTTCTGAAAAAATTGTGTATTTTACATAGTTATTAGAGCACATTTCTTTGATACAATCACTTAAGTTTGTGTATAAACACAAATAGTTGATAGACAAGTAATGACATCTCCAGCATTAAAGTATTGCACGATTCATCTAAAACATGAGAGAATGTTATACAGCTTTCTCAGTTGAGGAAGATACAAAATGGTTATAAATAGTTGCATGAATTTAAGTAAATTCAGTTCTGTGCTTCATTTTTTTATTACCGTAATTTCATTCAAATTTGAATCAATGTTATTTTTAGATTATTGCTGTTCAATCTCTCCCTTGCAATAATTTTTGGAATGTCTACCTCAATGTATTTTTACTTGCTACTATAGCAGTTATATTTACATAGCTTCCTCCTTAAAACTGAATATGTTTTTTCTTATTATTCCAGACAGATAAACTAGAACTGGCATGACTAAATTTTTCTTGACATATTGCCATAAGAGAGAGGATTTGCTGCTATAGTTAAGGTCAAGGCAAGAGTCAAACTGCAGCTCTCCCTTTTGTGTTAGGGTTTCCAGTACCCAGGCAGGACATCTAGTGTTTTGTCCTACTACTGACACCATTTTATGAAACATGACTTCTTTGAGCTTAGCAATTAATCACAAATGTAATCTTAAGGAAATTCAGGTGCAGATGTGTAAACATCTGAAGGCTTCTCTCGACTCTGACTTAGGTAACCTTATTTCCTGATAAAAATTACAAACTTAGCTGCAGAGCTTGTATGATATTCAACAATATAGCTGCAAAAATTG